TTTTGCGATACACGGGGCTCTCACTGCTGTGGCCTCTCCCGTTGTGGAACACAGGCTCCGGACACACAGGCTCAGCAGCCATGGCTCACAGGCCCAGCCGCTCTGTGGCATGTGGGATCTTCCCAGACCGGGGCATGAACCCGCATCCCCTGCATCGGCAGGCAGACTCTCAACCACTGCGCCACCAGGGAAGCCCTACCTTCAAGTCTTGAGTGAGGATATTGATTTTTCATTTTAATATAACAATGGAAAGTTTTTCATTTTAATTTTCAAATAAAATTCTAAGAAAAATCCCTATTTGTTGTATTGGTTAGATTTCTAAACTATATACTTGTATCTATTTACCTGGAGCCTATATCTGGCCTTATACATTTATGAGAGAAGCAAAGAAATCAAAATGCAAAGCTCATACAAAGAACAGCTGTGTTATGACAAATTCTGAAACTGTAGCTTTTTCATTTCTCTTTGCTCTCTGGGCAGAATTTTGTCCAATTTCCCTCTGACACAGTACATGTGATTTCCTGTCTATACTACTTTGAAGTCTACAATGGAAATATATTTTGTAAGCATAGAGAACATAACAATAACCACCTTTCACTGAGAACTTACCTATTGGCCGGGATTGTTCTGTATATTACCATAGCTGATCTTTGCAACAATCTTGTGGAATAAACCTTATCATTGTCCCAACTTTATATTTTCTTACATTAAGCTTCAAGTCAGTTATATATCTTAGGTAGGTAAAACTGCAGGGTCAGAATTTGAATGTAAGCTGATGCAACAGCTGGTGTGAAATATGAGTAGTATATGTGCCCCCCAGAGCCTTTTTTCAACTTTATTTAGATATAATTGACAAATAAAATTGTAAGATATTTAAAGATAATCAAGGAAGACATATAATCATTTTCCTTCTATTAATTACCTTTCATTGTGGCTTTTTTTTTTTTTAAAGAGGCACCCATGGACCAGCTTACTAAAATGTCATTCCCAGATTAAATAGCCTGATTTTAAATCAGTCCAATACTCATTTCTCCACAAACTATAGTTATGGCCTTTGTTAAACATGCAATTTTTTGAAAGCTAGTCAATAAGCAAGTGTTATATACTGTGATTTGGAGCAAACAACTCAATTGAGTCTGTTTCCTTACCTCTAATGGCAGATATCAGTGAAACCTACTTCCAAGGTTAGTTGAGGAACACATTTTTGAATTATTATGAACTATAAATTGAATTATAAACTATAAATCAATACACAGGTACTGAGTATCAATTGATGTAAATTATTAATTCCTTGAAATGTGCTTAATAAATAATTTCTCTCAATGCAAGCTATATTAATTAACCAAAAAGTAGGAGTTGCAGTAAATGAATATGTGGAAGGATTTTTAAAAATCTTATTGAAATTGCTTATGTAGTTAAGACCGTCACTTCTTATAGTACTTCCAAATCAGATTCCAAATCAGATCTGTTTGACAAAATAAATCTATAGAATTCAAAAATGTTGTTGAACACCTGTTCAAAAGGTCAAAGTGCTAATTAATAAAATAATAGAGCCACAAGATAATTGAGTCTGTAGTCTGTTTTCTTCCTTTGTTTAGAATGTTTTTAGGGGAAAAATGTTGAGATGCTCATGATATTCTAATATTTTGGTCCTAGACAGAGGCAGAGCTACTCTGTTTTAAAAAAATAAGTTTTCACAAAATTTTATTAGATGTATTTAAAAGCCATAGATATTGCAATGTTTTGCCATTAACTTGTAGCAATCTACCCATATTCTGTTACAAATTATACATTATTAGATTTTTATCTCAATATATTTATTTTTTATTTTCCTTTGACAAATTAAATTTTAACCATTCTTTATAAGTTCACATAACATCATCATATATAAATTTAAAATTAAAGTATGAAAATATCTAATTAATATCCCAAATGTATCCATTTAACAAATATTTCATTGACACTTGGAACATGCCACGTCATCTCAGGTCTGAGTGTCCCATGGTGGCTGGGGTCAAGAGTGTCTCTCTCACCACTGTTTACATTCTAGTGGAATAGAGGTAGAAGCAGGACTGCAAACTTAGAGTGTTGAGTAAGGACCTAATACCTAAAGTACAGAATAAAAGCGTATAATAAAACACCTAAAGTACATAATACTTAAACTTTTGGGGTCAGAGGACCTGGCATCTAAACTGAAATTAGATTTTACTTCAGAGTTGATCGGTGGCCACACAAACATTTATTTAAGGAGGGCATTTTGCAGAGTTTGGACTTCACACCA